AGCAAAGGGTTTATAATTAGGTTTAGTGTCTGCCAAAATGTTGCTGAAAGGAAAAAAAATTCTCTGAAAAAAAAAAAAGGTTCATAGTTTCCAGCCTGTAAAGCTGGAACCATCTTATTTTGATTTGGAAGCTTTTGCATACGTCAGTCAGGAAATGAAACCAAATTTTCTCTTGAAAATGAATTCTTAATAAGAGAAAATTAACCCTAGCTATGTGCCCTGGGGGTGGCACCTCTATACTGCAAGAATGCATGTGCTCTCATAAAACACAGAAGAGGGAGTTTCCTATATCGATCCAGATGAAGATTTTTACAAGGACTATAGAAACATCATATTTCAAGCATACATCTTATACTTCTCCCTCCTAAATCTCTACATAGCCATTCACGGCACCAGGTTATAAGTATCCCCTTCTTGTGCATTTATAAAAATCATTTCTTTTTTGAGCGTATAGTATAAGTACATCACTTCCCGCTCCCTTTCCTTATCCCAAACCCTTCCACAGCCCCTCCTTTCTCTCTTTCAAATTCATGGCTTCTTTTTTATTTTGATATATGCATATATGTATATATGTATATATTCCTAAATATATAAATACGACCTCAGTCTGTATAATGTTATTTGTATGTATGTTTTCAGGGATGATCACTTGGTATTGGATAACCAACTGGTGTCCTCTTTGCTAAAGAAGACTATTTCCCCCACTCTCCATATTCCTCAGCTTGCAGTGGAGTTTTGAGCACGTGTAGGGTTCCTTCTTTGAAGTGTTGATATATTGGCTATAGTGTCTGACACCCTGTGAGTATTGAAAGTGATAGGGAATGTATATTTCATAAACTTGCATGAGTGATTAAACCTTGAGTTTGGGGTGGGGAGAAAATGCAATGCCGGATGCACAGAGGTGGTGGGTAAGTGGTTCCGAGCCCGTAGAGAGGACTGGAGTTTGGTTTCAGGAATCCGCATAGCAGCTCACTACTGCTTGTAACTGCAGCTCCAGGAGGTCCAGTGCCGCCTTTTGACCTCTGTAGGCACCTGCACACATGTGCACATGAACTCACAGAAGGATACACACATACACAATTTTTTTTAAAATATGAAAAGAGAAGAAATCAATGGAGTTTGAAGAAAAGGTTATATACATCTTTGATATCAAACTATGAGATCCATTGTCACCAGGCACATGCTGAAGGGGTGTTACCTTCATCTAGCCTAACCCAAGACCCTTCTACACTCTTCTCTGAAAAGCAAAGAAAGGAACATGTGTCAGATACTCCATGAGAAACTTCTGACAATGGAGCCTGAACACCTTTCCTGCGAGCAATAAAAGAGGCCCTGGAAGTGACTCTTCCCTCTGTCTCATGGGAGGAGAGCAGTAGCTCTTTGCTAGGTTGATGTTGCTCATGGCTTGCTCAGGGAGATGAAGGTGTTTTATAAGCCCCCAATGCACTAGGAATGTCAGGCCCTGGCGCTGTAAAGCAGAGACCTGGAGCTCAGACAGACCTCACTAGAAGCCTAGCTTTTCCATTCTCAGCTGTTTCCAGTCCTCCCTCCTCCTCCTCTTCTTCCTCCTCCTCCTCTCCCTCCTCTTCCTCCTCTCCCTCCTCCTCTTCCTCCTCCTCCTCCTCCTCTCTCTCCTCCTTCTCCTCCTCTCTCTCCTCTTCTTCTTCTCCAAGTCACAAGACCATTATAATCTCGACTTTTAGAATGGCTGTGAGTATGATAACAGTCACTACTATTTATTGAATACTTGAACAGTCTGGCATTAGGAGCCTTGGTAAAAGTAATTCTAAGTGGTATAATTTCATTTTCACTTTAAAACAGGAGGAAGGAATTGTAGTCTTCACAAGGAAGATGGGGAAACTGAGGTAGCATGTTACCCCTGGTTACCCAGCTGGTAAGCAGCTGCCCTTAGCTGTCAATTATGTCTCTGTCCCATCCTAGGTTTTGAGATCTTGTGAAATCCAAGTGGTCCCTGATGTTGAGTTAGTACTTACATGTTTTGAGTATTGCTTCCCATAGACACCCGTGCTATATTCTAGAGTCCCCTGTATTCACTGTTTAGGGCTCTACTGTTTTAGTCTGCTATGTCCAGTATGGTCTGAAAATAGTAAGTGGAAAATTATAAAATATAAATGACTTCCACATTTTAAACTGTACTTTTTTCTGCATGTAGAATTCTAGTGCAATGTGGTCTTCTGTCCTACCTGTACGTGGAATGTTCCATCATCCAACATATAGTGTGGTAACCAAGAGCACGAGAGAAACCACAGCCACATGGCTTTTGGTTTTGAGATCAGGTCTTTCTGTATCGTCTAGGCTGATCTCAAATGCCTGGGCTGAGAAACATCTTCCTTCCTCCACTGGGACAACAGCCTGTGCCACTGAACACTTAAAATAACTTTTACAACAGCATATTGTAATTGTTCTATTTCATTGTTGTTCTTGTTGATAGCGACTGTGCTTAACTTAGAAACCATACTCTATGGGACAGGAGAGATGGCTCAGCAGTTAAGAATACTGGCTGCTCTTCCAGAGAAACTGGGTTCAGTTCCCAGTACTCACATGGTGGCTCACATCTGACTGTGACTCCAGGACCAGGGCATCCACATCAGGCATGCATAGTTGCACAGACATACATGCAGACAAAATACCCATACACATAAAAAATAAAAATTAAAGGAAAATAAATTGGGTTGTATTATAGGTGTATGTATAGGAAAAAATAGTGTGTTTGGCAGGGTTTCAGGTATCATGAGATATCTTAGGCCACTCCGTCCCCAGGACAAGAGAATTCTGTGCAGAATGCTCTATGGAGCAAGTCAGTCCCACCACCCTCTTGTGATTCACTTGACCAGTAGTGGTTATGCCTAAGTATAATATGCATGCACACACACACACACACACACACACACACACATGCATATTTAAGTATTTGTATAAAGTTACCCTAGCACCTGAGTACTTTGGAAAGAAATATGATTCTACAAATTTGGTACATAAGAAATATCATTGCTTCTTTTTATAGTCCAAACTCAATGCTTAATCCTGAGCCCTTGCTTGGTTCATAAGATACCCAGGGTAATTCTGAGCCCTCGTCTGGTTCATAAGAAGTGCAAAACCCTTCTCTTCTCTGCTATGGCGTGAATGAAGCTTCATCTCTCCATCCTGTAGAGAAAAGAGGAATTGGCCCCTCTTTTCCCTCCCAACTGCACTGTTTGTGGGCTCTGAAGAAACCATTGCTTTTCCAATATAAGAAAAAACTCAGATCACAAGAGAATGGGTTGGTAATTCAAATACCAGTTTCAGTGCTAGAAATTTTCTTCCAGGACAGTTCCCCTCTCCCCACCTCTGTCCTGCCCCCCCCCTCTCTCTCTCTCTGCGTGTGTGTGTGTGTGTGTGTGTGTGTGTGTGTGTGTGTGTGTGTGTTTGGTTTTTCGAGACAGAGGATTTTTTATGTAGCTCTGGGCTGTCCTGGAACTCACTGGGTAGACCAGGTTGACTTAGAACTCAAAGATCCACCTGCTTCTGTCTCCAGAGTGCTGGGATTAAAGGTATGTGTCACCATACCCAGTGCTCCAAGACAAATCTTGAAAGGTCTGCTGTCATCTTCTGAAGGAGCGTTGAGTCACCAAGTGAAGCTCCCCTGAGTTTTCTTCTTATGAACTGTGAACCCCAGCTCTCGTCTCCTGCAGTGCACATTGTTGTCCAGTGCATGTAAAATTCATCCATGGCTTTGCCCAGGCTTATCCACACTGAAACACATGGAGGATTGAAGGTCTTTAATCAGTTAAGTGTCATGTTGGAGCCTGGTTATTTCTGGTACTGGAGCACAGTGTCCAGTGAGAGGGGAATAGAGAGCAGGGGACAGAGAATAGTTTCATCACTATTCTCTGAGAACCATTTAACAAGAGTTATGTGGAGACCTTATATCTTTGAATTTACTATAAGAGGTAACAGCTAGAAATATGCCATAACTCACTTTTTAGTGTCTGGGCCACACTTAGGCAAAGTCCTTGAAACCCTTCCTACCATTTGGAAAGATGAGGAGGCAAGGCAGGGTCAGGAATAACAAAGGAGTTAATATCCAGAGAGACACTTCAGCCCTTAAGAATGTGTGCAGCTGGGGGAGGAGCATGCTAGAGAGATGGCTCAGAGGTTAAGAGTCTTAAATGCTCTTCCTGAGGACCTGGGTTCAATTCCCAGCACCCACATGTCAGCTCACAACTGTCTACAACTTCAGTTCTAGGGAATCTAACAACCCTTACACAGACATATAGGCAAAATACCAATGCACATAAAATAAAAATAAATAAATTATCTTTTAAAAGAAAAGAGTTTGTACTGCTCTTGCAGAAGACCTAGTTACCTTTACACAAAAGGGGACTTACAACCACCTGCAACCCCAGCTCTGAGCATCTCATCTCCACAGATACCTACATTCAGATGCCCAGACACACATACAGACACATACTCACATATAATTTAAAATGTTTTTAAAAGAGCAATAACATTGTCATTTCCCCCTTAATTAACAGAGAGAGCCTCAAAGATAATGCATTTCTATGAAAGCAGAGACACTGCAGTGGGAACACGGGTTCCCAGGTTCTTGGTAGTCATGAGCACTTTTAACGAGGTTGGCACATGGAATAGTTTTGAATGAAAACCGAGGAAGCTTGCTAAGTTATTTTGAAGCAATAATCCTTGGCCCCAGAGATGAGAAGCAAGAACAGCACTAGGCCATGATTGGCAGTTATTGGGTGGATGTCCTGGCAGGATTACTCTTGTATAAGGTAACATGATCTCTTCCACCCCTGCTCCCTCAAGATCCTGGTTCTGTAACGTCCTCCGAGCTTGCTCTCGTCATGTGGCCTATGTGTATAAGATCCCCTCTTTCATAACCTTAGCTCCACCCGTTATATTCCTGTCTGTTATGATGTGACACAAGTGACTCCAATTTGATAACTTTCATCCACTCATGCCCAGGGTTATCTGTGTTTCAGACAATGGTGGGCAGACTAGGTCTGGAGGCAACAACTGGCCACTTCGAGGAAGGAAAGGGACCCTGTGGGAAGGGGGCATCCGAGGAGCAGGCTTCGTGGCAAGCCCCTTGCTGAAACAGAAAGGCGTGAAGAGCCGGGAACTCATGCACGTCACCGACTGGCTTCCAACACTGGTGCATCTGGCTAGGGGAAGCACCAATGGAACCAAACCTCTGGATGGCTTCAATGTGTGGAAAACAATCAGGTATCTGCATGTCTTGCCCCATTCGTTGCCAGGACAGAAACTCCAGCATCTTAGCATGATGGATGGAGAACAATCAGTTCCCTTTGTAAGATGACAGTCCAGCTAAGAGCCTTCTTAAAAAGAAATGAAATGCCCTCCAAATATTGTCAGTACATGTTTTGAGTCTTATGTTTGGGATTTTGGTTCTGTGTTACAAGAAGGATGAGATGCTCCTGTAGCTCTTTAAAGCTGAGAATTTTTTTTCTTGGTGTAGGACCAAGTACTGCCAACTTCCTTCAAGAGGCCAGGGCACCTGGTCCAGTGAGTGGTAGGAAAATGGAGGACTGAAGGGAGGAGGAAGCTCGGGTAGGAGCCTGGAGACACTGCAGTCTCTAGAACTAAAATTAGTCCCACTCGTTAATGAGTATTTCATGAGTCCCTCCTATGTGATGCTCTGACCTAGGTTCTGGGAAATTACCATAGCATATATGTCATATATATATATATATATCTGTGGTTTGGTACCTAGATTCAGTTTATACATAAAATCACATACACTCGAAGCACTGTTTTTACTGAAACAGCAAATGACTATTGTTGTGCCTTTCAACATCTTTGGTGTGCTGAGCTCTGTTTGGGGTTGGCTGTTGGCAGTCCTCCTGTGATCCTCTTTGTGTATCTTCCATATTTTTCTTTCTTCACTGCACCATTTTTCCCAGTTCAAAATAGTAGAGTTTCCGGTTTCTATACATAGGAAATCCACAACAGAGGACTTAGAAGTAAAGAGCCAGGGTGTACATGGATCATGAAAAGGTTGTGTGCATGTGTACTTTTTATCTGGGGATGGATTCAAGACTCCAGTATTAGCAATCTGAGAAGCTGGGTAAGGAGCATAGATGGTCTTGTACTACATTTTTTATAAATTTTTTATAAATTTAAAATTATTTCCAAATAAAGTGGTTGTTTTTTTTTTTTTTAAATAGAAGGGTCTGGCAATATTTGGCCTGTATTTGCATAAGACTAACCAGCGAATGGAGTCAGATGGTGGCAGTCTTCTTTAGATGAAGTGTTGACCCTTCCAAACCATCTTTCTTCAGTGTTCTTGACTGCCCTCTGGCCTGCTACACTTGCTGGTGACACCTACCGCGTTTTGAGCCGGTAACCCATGGTCACAGAGCTATGGTACCAACACTGCACATGCTCAAAATGAACCAGTCCCCAACTGCTGGGCATATTGCTTCTTTTCTTCTTAATATTCTCATTTTATTCTGTAATCATTTTAATGTTTAAAAAATAGGGAGATGCTGAGATATCTCCCTAGGTAAAGGGACTTGCCCACAACCTGGGTTTGATCCCCAAGACCCATTTGGTAAATGGAGAAAACCAACTCCTATAAGCTGTCCTCAGACCCACACACACACAAGTGCACACATACATATATATACACACACACACAAGTGCACACATGCATACATACACACACACAAGTGCACACATGCATACATACACACACACAAGTGCACACATGCATAGACACACATACATGCACACACTTGCACTATGGCATGTGTACTGTCCCAACCCTCTCCACACTAAGTAGATAAATAGATAGATGAATGTAATTCATTTTTAAAATCAGGATTTGTATTATTTCATGCAGAGAACATTTGACCACCATTAATGTGTGAACCATGAAGTTTAAAGTTTAAAGCTTTGGAAAGATGGAAATCTGCTCAACTGAGCCCTCCCACTTCCCAGTACAGAATCTCATCTTGGAGGGAAGACTAGGGGAGATCCCTGCTCGCCACGCCTGAGGAAGAGCTCTTCCTATCAGTCTAAATGACTTTGTTTACAAGGTTCTGCTTCTCCAAGTTCCAGGTTTTCCCTGGGGAGAGTATAAAAATTTAAGAATCACTATTCAAACAGCAAAACAAAAAGGACTTTTTCAAATTTTTCAACTAGAGATAACCCTTGAACAATACTGGGTCTGAGGCCACCTCTGCACTGTCAGAAATTCACGTTTAATTTTAGAATTTCTTATAAGCAGATTGTGTTTTCATGCTAATTATGTTACCCCAAAACCTGTCTGCAGTGTCCTGCACATAGGCTAAAGGAAGCCTGCCCCGAGTTGGGTTTTTGACTAAGTTACCGGCAGCCACAGGCTGGGCAGGGGGACAGAGGCGGGACTTTTAGGATTCCCAGGAACGGACAGAGGAAAGAGGAAGAGGGTATAGGAGACGGACCCTGCCAGAGAGGTGCAGAAGGGAGAGACAGCCGACATGTAGGTGCAGGAGGAAAGTGGCCCCAGGAGGACTGTCCAGCAGGGTCCAGGGCAGCAAAGATAAAATATAGATTTAGTAAGTATTAACTCAGGAGTATCGGAGAGGAGTGTGTGTTAGCCACATGGAGTTAGGGAGTGGCCCACCCATTGAGCTGCTTGGGGCATCTTAAAATTAAGGCTCTCTTTCTGTGTGTGTGTGTGTGTGTGTGTGTGTCTTTCATTCTGGAATCCAAAGCATCTGGCAGGTGGTAAGAAGTGTGTGCGCCTACCTGCATGGGAATTTAGAGCGGATTAACAATTATGGTTTCAACTTCTTATTTAACATCGTTATTAACAGGTGTTTGAAAAAAGTAGGCTTAAAAAAGTTCTAAATTTTCATTATAAATTAAAAATTAATTTCATTTTTTTAAAAAAAATCTCAATTTGGTCATTTCTAAAACAATATACAAAGGTATATTGAGGAAAACAAGGCCTTGTATTGTGTCCAAAAAGAAATATCTTTAAGTAAAAACAACAATAATGAAAAAAAACCTACAGGGCACACACAAAACAGGCATTCCTGGCTATCTGCCAACAGGCAGGAAGCAAGCCTGTCACTGCAGCCTGTCCGTTCCTCACGGCAGGGTTACACATGGTCTTCTCGGTAGATCCCGGTAGAGATGGTAAGTTGCTCTTTTCTCTGTCCGGCTCTGTTCACACTTGGAAGCGAACAAGCCCACAGCTGGTGCGACAGCCATCTGTCACATTTGCACCAGGGATTGAAGCTGCAGGGAGCTGTGTTACTGACCTTGGGATTCATCGCCTTGGTTTTTCTTGATCTCTCTAGGCTGCCTGGAGTGGGAAGGCCGCAGTATTGTGGTCTGTAATCCCCAGCCATCACAGTACATCCTGTGGCACTGGCTTACCTGGCTGACTGTAATCTCCAACACTTTAGCCTGCACAGGGAGGTTGGCACATGAGGTCTCTCTCTGTATGTAGTAAGTGAGGCTCTTCCGCTGAGGTAGGGCTGGCGTTACTTGTCCTAAACTTAGAGAGCGCTCTGTAAGCCCCACCCAATTCCTTTCAACATCTTTGCTCACTCATGGTAAGGCTAGCTGTACGGATGACCATGGATGTGGATAACATGAAGTAGCTACTGTCTGTTACTTCACAGAGAAACTCTACCCCTGCCTCTCTCTGCCTACTCCCCTTCCTTCTCACTCTCCACTCACCCTCCACAACCTTCCATCTCCTGCTCTGCACTAGTTCCTTGTGTAAGGGTCCATGGTTCCCGAAGAATGACACTCCAGACTCAAATAGTATGTAAACGCAAAGAGTGTTTTGTTCTGCAGAAGTCCAGCGTGCTGGGGTCTCCCATTACCAAGACAGAGAGACCACACAGTGAACCTGCAGGCCTGATTTAAAGCACATTAGGGGATTCCAGGGTAGGTGACCTCTATGTTAATCTGTTGGGTCTGTCTCTATGGACATTCCATCACCAGGGTGTGGGGGCTGGAAACTTGCTGGGGAGGTCTGGGAACTATTGCTGGGGAATTGCTGAGGAAGTCTGGAAACTGCTGCTGACCCATTGTCCTTGCCTCGGGCCAGGTGGCAGGGCAGCTTCTGAGGCCTGGACTTGCCTGGACTTGTCTAGTTCTCGGAAACAGAGATTTAGGCCTAGTCTCCTTAACTGCCAATTTGAAACCTGTCATGGAGTCAGCCTAGCCTTCTCATTTGGTCTTTATGTTGGGCTGAAGGATAATCCATCTTCCTCAGTTCCTCTCCTGGTGCTGAAAACAGTCATTTCTTACACTGAATCATTTTACGGCTCCCCAAACCTTTGTGCTAAACTGTCCTAACATCCAGCACACCCACGTGAGGCTCCTGCACCCCTGTCTGGTGCTGAAGGTAGGGGTGACAGACAAGCCTGTCTGCATCGCTGCTCTTGGTTGTGATGAGGTGACTGCCACTCACCTCTACTAGTCCTTGCTGTGGTGGCACTGGCTCTAGGCTGCCCAGGCTCTCTGCTGTGGT